TTTCCAGTTTGGAAATACATAGAAAGCAGCTTTCCAGAAAGCAGACATATACCATGTGGTGACCTTCTCTTATCATACTGGGTGACAGTAGAAGCCTCCTGCAAAATCTCCAAGGGGAAAGGTCCCCTTGTGAAACTGTTTGTATGGAGAGTTACACTCGCCCTGCTTTTTACTTTGGTATTAGTGCTTGGACTGCAGTCACAGTGGTATTTACACATGGCAACTACTATATGGAAAACAGTGATACAGTAAATACAACTACCTTGCATTTTGTAGGCCAGCATTGGTGACTCTTTCAGATTTTCTAAGATTTCAATTGGAGTTCCGAATTGCTGCTTTAATCTAGACTATGAATCACTGAAGTTCTTCATGCCGAAATATACTTTAAAGATGTGTAAGCAAGTGAAACTATCCCTACCGTGTTTCTGCTGCTCCGGGGGCTGAAGGGCTTGTTAAATCTCTCATGCTGGCCTAGGGATAGTTTCGCCCCTCAAAGGTGACAGCAAAATTTCCCTTGGGTGAAGCAATCCTCCTTTGCGTGTTTTTTACAGCTTCAACTGTCTGACTCAGCAGACTCTGGGGTTGGCAGATCATAGTTTTGGTTGTTGTATTTGCCTTCGCCTTCTTTTCTCTGTCTTGTGTCTTTCCTTGAGATGGAATTCTAGTTGGGGATACGGCCAGCTGCTGTAGCAGCTGTAGTTTGTTGTGCCTCAATGCTCTTGCGCTCCCCGTAACTCTTGCTCAGTGCTGTAGTCTTCACACGGCAAACAGGTATTCTGTCACTCTGTACATACTTATTCTGTTCTGCAGAACCTCCCAAGTTCATCAAGAAGCCTGAAGCTTTGCGGTTTGTGAAGCAGGGGGATACAGTTCAACTTGAATGTAAAATCAGCGGCACACCTGAGATCAGAACCACGTGGTACAAAAATGATCAGGCACTCCAGGCAAGCGACAGGCTCCACATGTCCTTTGTAGACTCCATGGCAATGCTCACCATCTTGGGTGCCAACACTGAAGATGCCGGCGATTACATATGTGAAGCCCATAACTCTGCCGGCACAGCCAGCTGCAGCACTTCAGTCGCCGTGAAAGGTTAGCAGCATGGCTCCACACACCACCAGAATCCCTGGCATCTGGACTCATTCCCATCTGCACAACCCCCTGGATGGGGAGCCACTGCTGTGGCAGTTGGTGGCTGCTGGTGCAACGTCTCTCCAGCTGCTCTCACATTCAAATGCTGCTGTGTTTTAAGCAGCAGACACCAGGCAGGAAATAGTGGTGGGCGTTCAGCACTGTGCAGCCTTTCTCTTCTCTTTCCATTTAAGTCGATTGCAACCTGAATAAGGCAAGCTTGTCAGGTCACAAGGGAAGCATGGATTAGACAGAGCACCAGCCACGGTGAAGGAGCTGGGCATACTTTGCAGGCATCCCTCTGCCTCCCCCTTTATACACAGTGGTCCTGACAGGAATGAAATTTAAGACGGAAGAGGAGGCTGTGTTGCTGAGTCTCACTGATGGTAGCTTTCATGACTGGAAAGAGGTGGGGAAAGCTGGATTGCAGTCCTGGAGAGAGGGGAGAGTGGCTTTTGGGGAGGGGCACTGAGCACTGACACCAAACAGGTGCAGAAGTGTCACATTTTCTGTCCTTGGAACCCTGAGTACTGGGATGATTTGCTGGGAGATGCTGGGGGTTCAGCATTTTTTAGAGATGAGGCCACATATCTGGAAGCTAAATATTGGTTTACAAGAATAAGTGTAGGCCTCCTTCCTGAATATGTTGCCTCCTGCTACTCTCCTGAAACCCACCCAGGGAAGCAGGCTCACGCATTATGTTGTGATTCTTTTTTTATAGAACCACCTGTTTTTAGCAAGGTGCCGAGCCCCGTGGACACACTTAAAGGCTCAGATGTTATCCTCCAGTGTGAGATAGCAGGGACTCCACCCTTTGAGGTGGCATGGTTCAAGGACCGGAGGCAGGTCAGGAGCAGCAAGAAGTTCAAGGTGACAGCAAAGCACTCCGTTGCCAGTCTTCATATTCTCAATCTGGAATCTCAAGATACTGGAGAATACCAATGCAAAGCTATGAATGAGGTGGGAAGCGACACTTGCACTTGCCCAGTGAAATTCAAAGGTTTGTATGCTAAAGGATCAATAGCATCACCGCTGTCTTTCTTGGTCTCCTGACTGTCCCTTTTTCAAGCAGGCATGCATGATTAATTAACCCTCCTCTGCCTCCTTGTTTTTGCTGTCAGAACCCCCACGCTTTGCCAAGAAACTGAGTGACACTGCGATCTTCGTCGGGGAGCCAACAGCCCTGCAGGCAGTGGTGGAAGGATCCCCACCAATTTCTGTTGTCTGGCTCAAGGACAAGGGTGAAGTTATTAGGGAGAGTGAAAATGTCCAAATGTGGTTTATGGACAACATTGCAACTCTTGAGATTGCCAGTGCAGAGGGAGCTGATGTTGGGAAGTACATCTGCCAGATCAAAAATGATGCTGGCATGCGGGAGTGCTCTGCCTTTTTACAAGTTCTAGGTGGGTATAGCCTGCTTTGCAGGTACTCTATCTTACAGCTTGCACAATTGCCTCTACTAGCCTTTGCTTTCTGCTTATGTCTTGTGCTCACTGGTTTGCAAGTAGATTTCCTGGTGACACACATTGACCCCTTCCTTCCTGTTTCAGAACCGGCAGTCATCTTAGAGAAGACTGAGCCAATCACAGTAATGGCTGGCAATCCTTTTACCTTGGAGTGCAAAGTAGGAGGAACACCTGAACTTATCACCAAGTGGTACAAAGATGGGAGAGAACTGAGGAGTGACCGCAAATACCAAATTACCTTTTCCAACAATATATCTACTTTGAAAGTCTTTTCTGCAGACAGGGGAGACAGGGGCTTGTACACTTTTGAGGTGCACAATGAGGTGGGGGACAGCAGCTGCACTTCTTCAGTTGATGTTTCAGGTCAGCTCTATGTCTCTGTTTAAAGAAAGGTGTTTTTTTTTTTTCTCTTTCCTTTCACCTGAAAAAAACCCCAACGTTTCTCTTCCTATTCTTTTGCCCTGTCCTACTTAGATCGTCTTGTTCCTCCTTCATTCTCAAGAAAACTAAAGGAAACAAATGGAGTGCTGGGATCCTCAGTGCTTCTAGAGTGCAAAGTGTCTGGCACATCCCCCATATCTGTGGCCTGGTTTCAGGATGGGAATGAGATTGTTAGTGGAGAAAAATATGAAATCTCATTCTTGGATAACGTTTGTGCTTTGAAGCTGAATGCCCTGGATGTCACAGATACAGGACCGTATACCTGTGTGGCAACCAATGTGGCTGGATCTGATGAATGCAGTGCCTTTCTGACTGTACAAGGTCAGTGGAAGGATAGTACAGACCCTTCAACAAAATTATTTTTCCCTCTTCTCTTCCTTCTCTTTGTTTTCTCATGGTTTCTTTTTCATGTTTGGTGAGGTTTTTTTTCTTTTTTTCTGTTCTCTCCCTCTTTTTCTCTTTTTTTGGACTCAAGCTTGGTCCAGTTTTCCTCCCCCATATAGAGACTCTCCTATTAACATCTTTCTTGCTCTTCACTTCTTTCTATGATCCTTAGAACCACCTTCTTTTGCGAAGACACCTGATCCACAGGAAGTTTTGCCTGGATCAAGTGTGACATTCACCAGCTACATCAAGGGCAGTACTCCCTTCAAAGTGACCTGGTTCCGAGGCATCAGGGAGCTGGTGCCAGACAGCAACTGCTCCATCTCTCTGGATGAGTCTGTGGCACAGCTGCAGCTGTACAATGTGGAGCCAGGCCACAGTGGGGACTATGCCTGTGTGGTCACAAATGAGGCTGGCAGTGCCTCATGCACAACCCAACTCTTTGTGAAAGGTGTGTTTGTGTGGTTTTGTGTGTACGTGTAGGCACAGGTATCTCCCTTCATGCTCTGCCTGCAGCCCTGCCACATCTGTCCCTCTGACTTTTGCTCTATGCCTCCCCACAGAGCCTGCAGTCTTTGTGAAGAAATTAAGTGATTTCAGTGTGGAGCAGGGGAAGTCCATTGTGCTGGAAAGCAGCTACATGGGCACCCCTCCCATCTCTGTCACCTGGAAAAGAAATGGCATGCCCATTGCTCAGTCTCCACGTTGCAGTATTACAACTACTGACAAATCTGGCATTCTGGAGATCTTCAACAGCACCAAGAGCGATGAAGGCGAATACACCTGTGAGGTGGAAAATGAGGCGGGTGGCGATGTTTGCAACAGCCTTGTATCCATCTTAGGTACGCATCACCCCTGATTCCCCAAGGCACCTCCCAGTGATGCTCTGCCTCTGCTCACCATGCTCTCTCCTTCCCTAGAACCACCCTATTTTGTCACACACCTGGACCGTGTGGAGGTGAAGGTTGGCGAGCCCTTGATCTTAAAATGCCAGATTGGTGGTGCGCCAGAAATCAAGGTGTCCTGGTACAAAGATGACACCAAGCTCAGATCAACACAGGCTTACAAAATGCACTTCAAGAATAATGTGGCAACATTGGCATTCTCCACCGTGGAGGACAGCGACATTGGAGAATATATCTGCAAAGCAGAAAATAGCGTTGGCTTTGCCACCTCCACAGCTTTG